AACAGCTATTTTAATATATTAGTTCCTTTTTTACTTTAAATTTGTAAAGGATGATGACATTATTTTCAGATATTGGGTCATCTGGTATAGTCAAGATGCATTTTTGCATAGAAAAACAGAAAAATATGTCACAACTTCCCAATGACCTAATACCTTTTAGCATTAGGGATGTTGTTTCATGACTTTTACCAATTTATTTATTAATTTTGTAAATTATATCAGAGGATTTTTTAATACTGAACCAGCCTGGTATTTCCCGGATGAACCCTACTTGTTAATGGTGTGTTATATTTTTAATATCCTCCTAGATTTGCTTTGCTAATATTTTTATTTAAGGTTTTTGTATCAATGTTCTTAGATGAGATTGGTCTCTAGTTTTCTTTTATGTATGTTCATAGTTGTTGGATTTTGCTACCAATGCAGGAATATTTTCTTCTCTCTAAATTCTCTAGATTCCAGAGTTTAGAAAGTATAAATAACATTGGTGTTGTCTGTTTCCGGATGGTTGGTAGAATTAACTATGAATTGTGTTAGAAGACTATGGAATTGTATTAATTTTCTATCAAATTTATCAGTATTTTTCCTTTGATAAGTATTTTTCATTTGATGGTGGGTTTACATAGTTTCATTCTTCTGCATCAGTTTTGGTAATCTTTATTTTCCTAGAAAATCATTATGAGTTTCAATTTTGTTTTCATAGGGTAGAGAAAACCATTCTCTTACTCTTTTCATTTACTCCACCACTGTGATTATTTTTCCATTACTAATTTTATGCATTTGGGTTTTAAAAATTATATTAGCAAGTGGTTTATAAATTTTTTTTATATCTTCATTTGAAAAACTGGCTTTTGGCTTTACTTACTATTTCAATCATTTGTTTTCTAATGAATTTCTGCCTTTAGTTTTATTATCTTTTTTTTTGTTATTGTTTAGGCTTATTTTGTGGGGGACTTTTGTTGTTGTTGTGTTTTGTTTTGTTTGTTTGTTTTTTGTCATAGGGCATGCATACTCACTGGAGAGACACAGAAAAAGTAAGAAATCACCTCTCAGGGAGGGATAGACAAGCTGCAATCCATTCTCCTCCAATTTCTGGGCACAGATGCACACATGCCTGGTGTGATTTTTCAAGCTACTAGGTCTAGGACTCAAACCATACAGCCAGCCATGTGAGATCCAGTGCCTTAACTTTCACACCGCCTGCTGGCCATATTTTTGTGATTCTTACTCTCTTTGGTTGAATGTGTACTTTATTTTTTTCTTATGTATTAATATAAATACTCAAAACTACAAATTCTCCTTTGACTACTGCTTTAGTCAATCATATTGTCTAGCTTCTGATATTTTCATTGTTACTGGGTTTTTTTTAAGTATTCTACAATTTCAGGTTAGGTTTTCTCTTATGCTAAAGTGAAGGGATTTTTCTTCCTGTTTATTTTTTACATGTTAGAGATTTCTTTTTCCTTTTTTGTTATTAATTTCTAGTGTTACTTCTGTATTGTGATTAGATAATGTGATCTGCACTACTTTCACTTTCTGACTCGGTGTATCATCAATATACAAAATATCCAATGGGCCCTTGAAAGAAGGTATTGTCTTTGATTTTAGTATGTGAAGCAGTTTACATTTTTTTCCATTATCTTTGTTTTAAATAACATGATCTGTCATCACCTGAATGAAACAGTCTCATATTTTGTTTCTGCTTTTTCCTACCTTTTCTTTTCTTATGATTTTGCTTTATGAATTTTGATGCTATGGTTTTTTATGCATAAATATTCAGAGTGGTTAGAGCTCCATCATGAGTTTTAGTGATTAACATTATAGTTCCTGTCTTTGTCTTCTTAATTGCTTTTTCCCATTAGTTCAACTTTTTAACAATAAGTATCATGACTCTTATTTTTAAATTTCAGCATTAATTTGTTAAACAAACATTTATCAAACACCTATGTGCCAGGCACGAGATACCAGATGGCAAGACAGATAAGATCTTTGTCCTCTTGGAGTTTAAATCTTAGTTGGAGAATAATGCAAAAAATAAACATGTAAAAATAGGTATCTAAAATATTAGGTGGGAAAGAATGTTCTGAGAGAGAACAAAGTAGAATCAAAATATTTTAGAATAAGTATATTTAAGGATAAGTCATCTCTATTTTAGATAAGGTAGTCAGGAAAAAACCTCTGCCTGGAACACATTTGCCATCTCTCTGACATACATTTGCCACCTTTTATTTATTTGTTTCTGAGGGGATATGCTAAGAGGAATAGTTTAAACACAGAGATTGAAGAGTGTTATTATCTTAAAGATCTACAGGTGGGCTAAGGCCCAAATGAGAAGAGAGCAGGGATGTTGAATATAAATTTGTTATTTACATGAGAGATGAGCTAGTCAAGATGGGGGGTGGAGATAAGGGCAATGAAAGACATTTTGCTTTCCATTCTTTCTGAATTTAACTACCATTATGTGCATCATTATGTTTTAAAGAAATATCTCCAGTTTTCATTGTGACTATTCAGTGAATATTCTGCCTGATGATTGAACTGAATCTCTGGAATTTCCTGTCACTGGATTGGGTTTAGCATAATGCTGATTGCTCACAGGCTAGAGCAGGAAACCAGATCTTGTGGTTTAGAGGGCTTAACTCTTCATACTCTGAGGCTAGAGATGTCTTAATTCTGTCACTGTTTATTATAGAGAAGTTTGACTTTTCATACATATTTATATAAACCTAGACTTGTTTTCCTTGGAGATTTTCTTCTGTTACTTATAAAAATATTATTTTGCCTTATTAGTGATAGTTTTTTAAATTTTCTGATAGCTTTTTCTTTTCCTTTTTATTTTATTGATAGTTTCCTATAGGGTACGTATGCTTGCTGGAGAAGGGGGGGAGTGAAAAATCACACACACACACACACCGGAGGGATGGCAAAGCCACAGTCCCTTCTCCTCCAGTCTCCTCTTAGGATTTTGGGTATGCTTGTATACATGCCTGGTGGTTTGAATAACACTAAAAACAGGACTTGAACCATGGAGTTGGCCATGTTTAGTCCAGCCACCTCAACCTCTATGCCACATGTTGGCCCCTCTGATAGATTTTTCTTGTGTGTGCTTTGTCATGCACACACACACACACACACACACACACACACACACACCCTTAATTCTTGATCTGGAATTTATTTTGGTATATAATATATGATGTAGGTCCAAATATCACTGCTGTGCAATTATTTCAAACAGATTTATTAAATATTCTTTCTTTATCTCCTTGTTTCAGAAGTCTTTATAGGTAGCCTGGTTTGTTTCTAGACTAGCTATACTGTTCTGTTAATCACTAGCACAGTTTTAATTACCATTGTTTTATGCCATGCTTAATCCCTTACCCATCCTCTCCTAATTTCTTCTATAGCAGAATGCTTTGTAATATCATGTATTACTTTTTTGGCAAGCATATATTTTAAAAATTCTATAATTAAAAAAATTCCTGACCAGTCATGGTGTGATGGTAACAACACTCCATAATGCTGAAGTCATATGGGAAGATCCTGAGATCACATCCCATGGTCTTCCTATACAGGCTAGGCGTGATGCTCATGTGCTTGTTATCCTGACTCACTGAGGCTGGGAGTAGATCTAAGCATGAAGACCCTGTTAGGGGTGCTTCCTTCTCCCTCCCTCCCACCTCTCTCTCACAGAAGAAATAAATAAATGGGCTTTAAGAAATTCCTGTTGTTAGGGCCAGCCAGTGGTGTAGCGGTTAAGACACTTGAGCCCGCATGGCCAACTCTAAGGTTTGAGTTCCAGACCTGTGGTTTCAAATCATACTGGGAGCATGAGCATATCCAAAATCCCAAGAGAAGGATGGATGAGAAGCGATTGTGCATGGCCATTTTCCCCTAGAGGGCGATTTCTTTCTCTCTTTTGTGAGCATACATGCCATATAGCAAAAACTTAAAACAAGAAATTCCTATCAAAAATTCAGATTGAGATTTGCATTAAAAGGAGATATTTTATTTATTTATTTAAATAATTATTTTATTTAGCTTTATTTATTATTATTATTATCATTATTATTTTCCAGTTTGATCAGAGAGAGACAGAGAGAGAGGGGAAGTGAGAAAGCAAGCCACCAGTTTCGAGACCCGAACCGTGGTCGGCCACGTGGGAGTCTAGCACCTTTAACCACCATGCCACTTTCCAGCCCCAGGAGACATTTTATTTTAAAATCAGGATAGAAGATATTTGTGAATGACCTGCTTAGTGTTTTTGTTTTGTTTTGTTTTGCTTTGGTTACAAGTATAAGAAAAAGTGCACATATCTAACATCTAACTGGATACAGATTACGTTTAGAGTATGGAAACAGAAAGTGAAAAGTGATACAAAGAATATTATTTCTTACCTCTTAAGAGAGATTCCTGAAGCATAGATGGCAAAGTATTAAAATGTGTTGATTCTAGGTAGTAGGTGGGAACTTGGGTATTTATTATGGAAATCTCTGTATATTTCTAAATAACTGTAATTTTTATAATAAAAAACATATAAAAGTAATTGATAAGGCAGGATACCTAGGCTTATAAACCCTAGGAGACTGCACATCTAATCTGAGTGTCATAAATAAAAATGGGGTGATATGTGTATATCTAGACTTTGGAGCTATACTCTTCAAGTTCAAATCCTAGCTTTACTACTTGATAGCTTAATGATTCCAGACAAGTTACTTAACTTGTCTATATCTCAGTTTCTCCAACTATAAAGTCAGGACAATAATAATAGCTACCTCTTAGGGTTATTCTGAGGATTAAGTTAATACATGGAAAGCACTTAGAACAGTCTCTAGTATTTAGTATGTTCAGTAGGTGTTAGCTATCATTATTTTATTATTATATTTATTACACAATTACATTGTTTTGTGGCCATTTTAAACTTTACAGAAGTGATATCATCCAAAATATGGGCCTATATGCAATTTGCTTGTTTTACTCAATCCTCATCTTCTGTTTTGCAGGGAAATGGCCCATTCCAAGGCTAACTTTAAATGGGCAGAACCCTTCCATCCTTGTCTTGAGAACCCAGCACAGAACTTGTCAGGCTACCGTGCAATTTCTTCTCTTGACCTCCTTGGAGACTTCAAACATGTCTTGAAAGAAACAGAGGAAACTTCAGTTTATGAGGAGGGGAGCTCCCTTGCCTCCATGTGTCACCCACTGCGCAGCCGCGCCTTCTCAGAGAGTCACATCAGCTTGGAACCCCAGAGTACCCAGGGCTGGAGGCAGCATCGGAGGGAGCTTATTGCCAAAGTTGACGAGACCCAGCCAGATCCTCTCAGAGCCAAGAAGAAGTCTTTTCCTCCTCCTCGTCCTCCTCCTCCTAACTGGGAGAAGTACAGGCTCTTCCGTGCAGCCCAGCAGCAGAAACAGCAGCAGCAGCCAGCAGCAACAACAGCAACAGCAACAGCAAGAGGAAGAAGAGGAGGAAGAGGAAGAAGAAGAGGAGGAGGGAGAAGAGGAGGAGGAGCTTCCACCTCAGTACTTCAGTTCAGAAACCACTGGTTCCTGTGCTCTCAATTCTGAGGATGTTCTGGAGAAGTCACAACCCCCAAGCCTTGGCCACCTGGAGGCCTCAAGGCAGGGTTCACAAAGCCTCCCAGCGGGACAGGAGTCCTTTGCTCTGCATTCCAGCGATTTCTCTCCTCCAGTAAGGGGCCACTTGGGATCTCAACCTGAGCAGTCTCAGCCCCTTTGCTATCATGGCATTGGTGGGGTTTGGAGGATGTCAGAGCAGGAGACCACTGATTCCCCCAAGTAAGTGCTAATGAAAGATATTGGTCCCTGAAGAGGCAGGTAGCATGAGTTTAAATTCTACCTCCCTTATGAAACAAACTGTGTGACTTTAGGCTAGTCAATTAAATGGTTCCCAGCCTGAATTTTCTTACCTGGAAAATGGCTCTGATCATGCTTGCTCTACATGGTTCATATGAATATTGAGATAATCTGTGTAAAGGACATAGCTCCATGCTTAGCACACGGTAGATGTTCAGTAAATGGAAGTTGTTGATGTTCTTACATTTTTTAAGTTAGTTTATTTCTACCATGAGAGAGAGAGACAGCACCCCAAACCAAAATATTCATGCCACAAACCATTCCCTGTCTCAGCCAACCCAGACCTTGGATGCATGCACACAGCATGTACAGAGAAGCCCTGGAAGTTAATCTGGGACCTTCCCATGTGGGTCTAGCTTCGCAGAGTATTGCATTACCATTCTACCACCATTTGTATCTGTCCTAAATATTAAAATGCTATATTATTTATCAGGCTCTCTTTAAGGAATGGATCAGTTCTTGACCTTGATTCCAAAGGCCCTTTTCTTCCTTTTCTTCTGCTTCCCTCTAGAACTAGAAGGTAGCTTTCTACCTACTCCCCTATGCTCTAGGATAAATTATTTGGGTTTCTAAACTCTTTCCTCTATCCCCAGCACCAAAGATATTCTTGAGACTAGGTACTTCATGCCTTGATAATTCCTTTCAATAGCTAAGGATATTCTTTTTTCCTCTAATTTATTTCTCTCCTCATTTCCCTGCCTCTTTACACTTGTTGCAGTGGGCATCAGTGGTGGTAGGAGTCTGGTCTGGCTGTAAGACTTCAGGTGTCTTTTCAGGGCTTCTCTGTGTACCCCATAGTACATGATTGTTCTTTTTGCTCCAAAGAAAATTCCTCAGGACTGTCATTGCTCAATGCTTTGGCCCTCAGCTCTGCCTGTGTTCTTGTAGAGCACTCGGTCCAGTCTCTGTTGAGGGTAGGAGCAGGGAGACAGGTGTCTTCTAAGTGCTTTCTTTAAATCTCTTTATAGCAGGAACTTGTCTGAAACTTGCCCTAAGAACACCTTGTTGTTGCATCTTTCATTGACAGGGACATTTTTTACTTGGCTATCTGGAGCTATTTGAACAGTTTTGCAGCTCAAGGTGCCATAAGCATAGCATTTACACAGCCTGACTCCCAGGCACTTGGATAATTCCTTATCAGATCCCATGTGGTTGTTTTTCCAGCTGTCTGTCTAGTTGGGGAGCATTGTGAAAACATTTTGGGGAAAGTAGCTGTGATTGTGATATATCCAAGCAGAGAATAATTTTTTTCCATATTTTATTGACTCACAAAATACCTTAAACTAAAAATATGGACAAAGCTAGAATGTAGTTACAAGTACACTGTAATTTTCTTCTGAAACATTTTTTTAGTTAATTAATTTATATTGATTCCCTGAGCATCGTCACAGCATATGAAATGTGATTTCCCATCCAGAATATACTGCATAGTGGCTTAATCATACATGTTATCATCAATACTTTTCCATTTCTAGTGTATATGTGTGTATTTATATATATATAAACTGTGAATGCATGTGTGACTTGAGGCGTGAAACTCTGAGTAGAATGAATATATTATAAGATAACACCTAACTTAAGCTATATAGCTTACTATGGTCCTTAAATAGGTATTTTTAAAATATTTTTTTAATTTCAAGAAAAACAGTTTTAACTTTAATAATTCAAAGAAATGCTAAGGAACTTTGCTTAAAACTTAAAGCAGGGAAACAAGTTAGAATTCTGTTCAAATAGTAGGTACATGAACCTATCATCCGCTCAAGACAAGACAAAAATCCTTAAAACCCAAAAGCAAAGCCTAGAAGAAAATCAGCAATGATTTAGTCAAAAGTCATAAAATGCTATTTCACCAGTTCAATCTCATGTACTTTATCTTCTGTTGTGGAGCAATCTTTCCGATTAAATTCTGGTATATACTATTCAACTCCAGACTTATCCCTATGATTAAATTGGCCATTTTCTTGTTTTTTGCGCTCTTATTTCTGTGTGTTTGTATTTAATTTTTCTGGTATAGCACTCCTTGAGAATTTCTTGGAGATCTGGTCTGATGTTGGTAAATTCTTTCAGGTTTTGTTTATCTGAGAATGTTCTTGTCTTTTCTTCCCATATGAAGGATAATCTTGCCAGGTACAGTATTCTTGGTTGAAATTGCTTTTCCCTTAACACTTTGAATATATTTTCCTATTCTTTCCTTGCTCACATTGTTCCTGATGAGAGGTTCACTGTTAGTCTTATGGGATATCCTTTGTAGGCAACTTGCCATTTTTCTCTTGCCAATCTTAGTATCTTGTCTTTGTCTGTGGTTTTGGTCAATCTGGCTATAATGTATCTTGGAGAAGGTCTTCTTGGGTTGATTCTACTTGAAGTCCTTTGTACTTCTTGGGACTGGATCTTTCAGTGGCTCTCTAAGTTTGAAAAGTTTTCTTCCAGGATTTCATGGAATAGATTATCAATGCCCTCATTAGTCTCTTCACCTTCTGAGATACCAATTATCCAGATATTTGGACGTTTGATGGTATCTAGTATTTCTCATATATTATTCTCATTTGGGGGGGGCAATTTTCTCAGTCTTTGTGGTGGTTATTTCTAGGCCAGCGATTCTATCTTCTATGTCCGAGATTCAATTTTCTGTATGATCTAGACTGTTTTTAATACTTTCAAGGGAGATTTTGACTTTGTATTATAGCCTTCATCTCTAACAGTTCCATTTGATACTTTTTTATAGTATTTCCTCTTTTAGATCTTGCAAGTATTATATCACCTCCTGGAACTCATCAGCTACTTTCTCCTTCCTCTTCTGCCGTTCATTGTCTCTCTTCTCTTCCATCTCTGTTAACTTCATCATTATGTATATTCTAAATTCTTTATCAGACATTTCCATGATTTTATTGAACTGCCTGTGGATGAAGAGGAGTTATTTTTTTCCCTTGGAGGAGAGGTATTTTCTTGCTTTCCCATATTTATTGTAACCCTGAAGTGGTTTCTAGTCATCTAATGGATGGTGCATTTCTTTCTAATTCTTGAAGTTTAATCTGAGTGTTCAGGAGCGTGTAGAAGGAAGTGATCTGAAGTCTCTTTGCTCTTCCATTTTTATCCCTTTGTGCAGCAGATTCAGTAGGTATTGAGGAATAGGTTAACCCTAATAGTATTTGGATGTTTGGCTATGGTTCCCTTAGATCCATCTAGAAACACAGTGAGTGGATATTGAGGAGCAAAGTGATGAGATAAGAGAAAAAGAATAAGAAAAGAGAGAGAGAGAGGGAGAGAGAGAGAGAGAAGGAAAAAAGAAAAAAAAACCCAAAAATATTTTTTAAAAAGAGCAAAAAATGAAAAACAGTGCAGCATCCTTGCATGATGTGTGAAATGACTAATTCTCAGCAGCAATGGAGGAGTCTTCTTCTGAAGGCCTGCCCCTTTCCTCTTGTAGAGGGGAGGGAAAGATAAAGGAGGAACATAAAGGAGGATCTGAAAGCCAAGAGAATATTTGCCTTAAAATTTTTTAAAAAGTGGGACCAGCAGTTAGTGTAATGGTTATGTCGCTGGACTCCCATGTAGTCGATCTTGGTTCATGTCCCGGACCCGGTGGCTTAAAACTCATGCCGGGTGTGTGTGCGTGTGTGCCCAAGATCCTGAGAGGAGAATGGAGAAGGGATTGGGCCATGGCCATTCTCCCCAGGGGGTGATTTCTCACTTTCTGTCTCTCTGTCTCTCTCTGTGTATCTGGCGAGTGCACGTGCCCTATAGCAAAAACCTCTCAACAAAATTTTTAAAAAGCAAAAATTACAAGAAAATGAAAAGACCAGGAGAGAGATAGACAGAGACAGAGAGAAGGCTAGAGGGGCTCCCTGCCACTCGAGTTA